CAAGAGTTTGAAGTAGATGATTGGGTATATTTGAAAGTTTCACCCATGAAGGATGTTATGAGATTTGGTAAGAAGGGGAAGCTTAGTCCCCGGTATATTGTCCCTTACAGAATATTGAAAAGGGTAGGTAATGTAGCTTATGAGTTGGAGCTACCACAAGAGTTAGCCACGGTTCATCCGATTTTTCAGATCTCTATATTGAAGAAGTGCATGAGTGATCCTTCATTGATCATACCAACTGAAGCTATTAGCATAAAAAATAACTTATCTTATGAGGACATTCCGATTTAGATTCTAGATCGCCAAGTTCGCAAGTTGAGGACTAAGGAAGTAGCATCAGTCAAAGTCCTTTGGAGGAACCAATTTGTTAAGGAAGCTACTTGGGAAGCTGAAGAAGATATGAAGAAGAAGTATCCACATCACTTTGAAACCGGAGAAGTTCCAGACCAAGGTACTAATTCGCTTCTTAGTACTCTTTCATTTATAAGTTAGCATGTTGTCATTGCATTGATTGTTGGGGGTTTGAGCTGAATGTTACATGTTACACCCTTAGCCTACTAAGAGTAAGCTCATTCGAGGACGAATGGTCCCAAGGGGGAGATATTGTAACACCCCGTAACTAGAAAGAAGTTAAAAAGTAGAAATAGTCATTTTTGGAAAGAATATAAAAATCTGGAAAATTTGTTAAGCATGTTAAGTTGGATTTCTGGTCAACTTAAAACGACCATAACTTCTAGATCAAGACGAGTTAGGTATGTTTCCAGATATCGTAGGAAATATCTTGGAATAATCTTTCCAATGCCACTGAGTTTACGCGATTCTGAGTTCGTATGAGTGAGATATAACCAATTGAATTTGGGTTGTTCAAATAAGGAAAGTCCAATTCAAATTTTGAAAAGGTAGTTTGGTCTTTTCCTTACCCAAGTAATTTAATTCGTTTTAGTGAATTAATTAAGGGTCAAAACCGAATTTGGTCAGTTTAGAAAATTGGAAACCTACGCTAGGGCTTGGAGAAAGGGGAAAGAAGGAGAAAATGCAAGATTCGTCAAGAACGTTCAAGTTTGATTGTGGATTTCGCCAAGGATTCAATCCTACGAGGTATGTGAGTTCACATAGTGTTGGGTTCATTCACTCACGCGCCAAACATGTTTATTTCAGTATGATTTTTGTTTTAAAAGATTGAGACTTTGATGTTCTTGAGTTGTATTCTTGAATTGTTTTCGTTCTTAAATTTGGGATGAGATTGAGGAGTTCTTGAGAGTTTAAGATCGATTTTAGAGTTGTTTTGAGTTAGATTCTTGTGTACATTCGCTGGGTATCTGAATCTAAAGAGATATGGAGAAAAAAAATCGAATCTAGGCGAATTGGGGCTAAAAAATGAAGAAGGAAAAAGTCAGGAAAATCTGGGTAGCAGGTTCGCGTCGCGGACTTGTTCCTTAAGGTTGTCAAAATTTTCTCCGCGTTGTGGAGTGGTCACAGACCGTTCTGCCTCAAAAAAATTATTTTTCAACCAAATAATTAAATGCATCTCCGCGTCGCGGACTTGCTTTCAGACAGTGATTTCTTGATCTTTTCTCATGTGTAACTATCTAACAACACCTCTAAACATCATGAAATCTTTCCTATCACAAATCACAATCCTTGAATCCATAATTCAATTCAAGGATCAGTTACGAGTTAAGAGCCTAGTCAAGAGAAGTTCATAGAGTCTTCCCAAAGTCTTTTACAAATGTTTTAACTTTGTTTTAAGACTTGAGTTTTGAGTTGAATAAAGAGTAAAGATTGAAGTTTTCTTCAAAAAGAATATATCGGGACTATGCATTCCCAAAGAGTAAATGTTTTCACACTTAAGAATGAATGGAAACTTTGATTTTCAAAAGAGCCTTTGAGCTAGTTTTTCAGTAAAGAGCCTTTGAGCTAGTTTTTTCTGTAAAGAGTAAATGCTTTCACAATTAAGCAAGGGAGGAAACTTTGATTTCCAAGATAACCTTTGAGCTAAGTTTTTGAGCAATTATCTCAAATCATAGAAAGAAGTATGTTTTTTAAAACATAAGAGCTAGTATCATATTTTGGGAGTAGTATTGAGCACCGATATGGGGGAAAATTCAGACAACTCACAACCGTCATAAACCATGTAGCCACCATGGGTAGAAAAGGGTCATACTTTTTAGATGATTCCTTCAGTGCTTTTTAGCATAGACTTGTGGGGTCCCCTTAGTAGTTCAAGTTCTATACCCCTGACAAGGTATAAGACGGACCTGGCAGTGTGAGGCAAAATGTTGTATCATCATGATAGCTCTTCAGTGATGGTCGTCGGTTAGAGAAACTCCCACAACAATATTTTGTATTCTTATATACACAGAGTTAATTGTATTTTTATATATATATTCAGAGTTTATATTGTATCTTTGCATACATACAGAGTTATTATTGTATTTCTAAATACACAGAGTTGAAAACCATGTTTTAAAGCTTTTCTTTATACTGCATTTATTTACACTGCTTTATATTGAAATCAGTTGAGTTGAGTTGAGCCAGGTAAGTTCTTTAGTTCCTTTCAAGCTTATGTTTTGTTTTAGATTTCCCCTCGCATACTCGTACATTCAATGTACTGATGCCATTTGGCCTGCATCTTCTTATGATGCAGACACAGGTAACCAGAATAAGCATCCAGCGCATCGTTGATTCTAGTTGAGCACTCAGAGTCAGTTGATGAGTCTCCTTGCTTTCCGAAGGATCCCTTTGGTTATGTTTTGTTTTATTGCTTGCTTATTTCAGTTGTTAGGATGATCGGGGGTCTTGTCCCGACATCCCTCAGTGTTTAGAGGCTTCATAGACAGAGTTAGTTGATATTAGTTAATGAGTCTTTACTTTTCCATTTTCAGTTAAGTTGAGACTTGAAATGCCACTTTGGCAGTGAATGTTATTTATTACATTCTCAGTTATTTATTGAGCAGTTCAGTGTACTATTTTTAAAAGTATTTATCTTGAGTAAAGTCTTCCGCTGAGTAAGAAAGTCAGGCCAAGGGTTCGCTTGGGGCCAACAATGATTCTCGAGTGCCAGTCCCGCCATGGGTGTAGGCTCGAGGCGTGACAATATTAATCTTTTGGTTTAGAATTACCTTTATTTTTAATAGTTCCCGTAAAGTAAAATCATTAAATATTTATTTATTATATTGCCTACTCTGATTGGTCCAAATTTAAACTCTTGTCAAATAAATAATAAAAATCAAATACGATTCATATTTTGAATCGATACGCTTGAAAATAATATTCAAAAAATTATTAATTTAATGTTATCTTTCTATTAGCCTATATTAAATCAACCCCAATTTATTATAAATAAATTCATAACTGGGAATCCAGCTAAAATCCATACTCGTCCCGTCTGATTGTCCATCTATTTCTTTTATTAATATAAAAATTTCTATCAATTATCCAATTATCTTGTTCATTTCCTCTTTTTATTCTTTTTTGAATCTCTTATTTTTAATTAAGATATCATGGACTTAGACTTCAAATGAACTTACATGTTCTGATTCTTTTAATTTGTATATTGTCACGGTGGGGATGAGGATAGGAGAAAAGATTATTTTCATTCTTTTATTTTAAATTTTGGGTACACACAAAAGAGAAATGCAGTATACGTGTATACAATTGCGTAATTAATCTTCTATTGAACTAATTATTTTTATATGAATGTTGTCATTATTTTCCTCTTTTTCACCTTTGTTTTATCATAAGTTGGATTATTATTTTTTTGAAAATGTTGGACAAGATAGAAGAAAAAATAAAAGAGAGGAAGTGAAGGGGGGGGGGGGGGGGGGAGGATTTTGCAGATTCAGTTACGTACTCTTTTGATTCTTATTTATAAAAAATGACCCTTGGGTAGATAGTAGAGGACTAACTTTTTATTTTATTTTTAATCTACTATAGAACTCAAATTCAGGACAATCATATGAGTCTATATGTTAAGTAATTTCAAATTATTTTAATGTGGAAGGGCCTAAAATGTACTTTTTTTTTACGCTCCCCAGGAGCTCCCACCCCTTTTTGCTCCCTTGGTGACTCGAACTCGCAACTTTCGGGTTAGAAGTGAGGGGTGCTTACCATCCGAGCAACTCCCTCTCGTCCTAAAATGTACTTGAACTTTGTGATTTGGTACAATATTTCCTCCATCTACCTCATGGATTAGAAATAAGGGTATTTTTATTCCAAAAGATTTACTTCAGGGTATTTGGGGGTCGAAAGGAGGACAGATGATAATTTTGAGTGGAAGTGGACGACAATGAAGATGGATCTAGGAATGTTTGGGGGGCAATCGTTTTAGAGATCAGTGGTTTCAAGTTTGGCAATGCTATTAACTAGTAAGTTATAATGAAATATTCTAAGATAGTGCTGAGTACGGAGCCTTGATTTATTTTATCGAGAATGGTCAAAGTCATACCTAACCTATTTTAGTATGCTTTACTTTACTCTTTTCAAAAGGCATAATATATAAACATGTTTTTTAACTTGGCTTTAGCCGGACAATTATATATGTTTGTCAACTTTGCATAATTTCGTGACACCATATATGGTAAATCCAGCTACTTAAGCTTCGATTGAAGCTTCACGATCTCTAATAATAGTGAATACTTGACTCCATTGATAGTTAACACAGAATGGAAAGAGAGGAAACTGCCTCAGATTTTCATATTCTGGAAAAAAGTGGTTAAGAAAGGAATAGAGGCTATCTATTTATACAAGGAAAAGAGAAAAATATGTGTCCTAACTAACTTGATTACTGCCGTAATACAGCTGGCAACAATAAGATAAAATATCTAACTCATAACTAACTTGGAGATCTGACTAACTATAGTTTCAATAGTATATAATTGTCTCATGTAGAACTCTATTCTAGCCCTACCTAAGACACGTGAATCTCGATGCTGAATTTTCAATACCTTTTGTTTGTTTCTTGGTATAAGTAGTCACACCTTTTGGGTTGTTTGGAAAATATCATAACAAATCCAAAGAAAACTAAACTTTACTATAACAATGAGCATGTGGTGGTTCGTAACAACTTTAGTCATTACTGTTTTCATTTCTAATTCCCCTGTTTATGCTTATGATAACAACCCTCTACAGGACATATGTGTTGCTGTTAATGACTCTAAGGCTGCAGGTAATTAATCATCCTTCTATAATACTTATTTGTTTCGGAATGAGGCATAGTTTTTGTATATATGTTGTATAATCTGAATAATATGCTTAACTTTATTTTATTTCGCCTGTGCAGTTTTCGTGAATGGAAAGATTTGCAAAAACCCAAAGTTTGCAACAGCAAATGATTTTTTTGCTTCAGGTCTTAATGTTAGTGGCATTGCAGCGCCCGGGGCTGGTGGTGCTGCAAAGTTTGTGGATGTAAACAACATGCCTGGACTTAACACTCTTGGTATTTCTATTGGTCGTGTTGACTTGGAACCTCAACGTTTTGTTCCATTTCACACGCACCCTCGAGCTACTGAGCTGATAACTGTCCTGGAGGGTATTCTGTATGCAGGATTTCTTGTCCCTGATCCCGCAAACTTCTTTAAGAGTCGTCTCTTCTCCAAAATCTTGTATCCTGGCGATGTGTTTGTGTTCCCAATAGGTCTTATTCACTTCCAGTATAATGTGGGAAACAAAAAAGCTATTTATCTCACTGCTTTCAACAGTCAAAATCCTGGATTTATCTTTATCCCTAATTCGATCTTTGGTTCAAATCCACCCATTCCGGATGACGTTCTTACCCAAGGCTTCCAACTTAGTAAGACACAGATTGCAGAACTTCGAAGGAAATTCTCTTAGGCTATATTGTGTTTCCTGAAAGTTGTTTGCAGCGCACTAGCTGAGCACCAGCTTCTTATGAAAGTGTTGGAATAATGGTCTACTCAATTAGTCCTAATAAATAAAGTGGCAATGTATGTAACAATAATCTCTCTTTGCAATAAATACTAATGTATAAGCACTATGTTGGCCATGTACCTTGTGTAATCTGAGAGTGGAATCGACACGCTTAATAGCTATACATATTTTCTTAAATAAATCAACAACTTGAATCAAGTGATGCACATATGTTAAGAGTCCCTTACAATTTCAACTGGATCCAAATTGGTTCAACAGAACTAAAAAAATGCAAGATAGAGTAATGGAAAGACTGGTAAAAATGAGTTTGGTGTCATGAGGCATAAAGAGAAATGGATAATGCCAAATAACAAGAAAATATGATAAAGATCCAATAATGGTACCTGGCCATATTAAACAATGACAGAATATAGAGCAGTGAAAATCAATTGGTATTACCGGGGCCTTATGAGACATTGCCTCTGTAGATGCTTATCCTACACATTTATACATTATATTATGCCTTTCCGAAAAGTGGAATGCTTCTTTTATGTCATTATCTTCTTGCCAAACCAACTCTATACTAGCCCTACTAAATAGACTTGATGGTGAATTTTCGATACTTCTTGTTCTTTTCTTGTATAAATAGTCATAGCTTTGTGGTTGTTTGGACAAAGTCTATTTCAAATCAAAAGCATAACAATGAGGATGTGGTGGTTCATAACAACTTTAGTCATTACTGCTTTCACTTGTAATTCCCCTTCTTATGCTTATGATAACAACCCTCTACAGGACATATGTGTTGCTGTTAATGACTCTAAGGCTGCAGGTAATTAATCATCCTTCTATATTTTGTTTGGGAATGATGCATAGTTTTTGTATATATGTTGTACAATTTATGTCAGCTCTTATTATCTAAATAATATGCTTATCTTCTTTTTATTCCACCTGTGCAGTTTTCGTGAACGGAAAGATTTGCAAAGACCCAAAGCTTGCAACAGCGAATGATTTCTTTGCTTCAGGTTTTAATGTTAGTGGAAATGCAGTGCCTGGGTTTGGTTTTGCTACAAAGACTGCGGATCTGAACAACATGCCTGGACTTAACACTCTTGGTCTTTTTTTTGGTCGTATTGACTTGGAACCTCAACGTCTTGCTCCACTTCACACGCACCCTCGAGCTACTGAGCTGATAACTATCCTGGAGGGTACTATCTATGCAGGATTTCTTGTCCCCAATCCTGCAAACTTCTTTAAGAGTCGTCTCTTCTCCAAAGTCTTGAATCCTGGTGATGTGTTTGTAATCCCAAAAGGTCTTATTCACTTCCAGTATAATGTGGGAAACAGAAAAGCTACTTATTTCGCTATTTTCAACAGTCAAAATCCTGGATTTGTCATTATTCCTAATTCAATCTTTGCTTCAAATCCACCTATTTCGGACGACGTTCTTGCCAAAGGCTTCATGCTTAATAAGACAGAGATTGCAGTACTTCGAAAGAAATTCTCTTAGGCTATACTATATGTTATTAAAATAATGATTCTGTGTTTTCTGAAAGTTGGTTGCAGCACATAAGCTGCTCACCAGCGTCTTATGAAAGAGTTGGAACAATACTTGACTCCTAATAAATAAAGTGGCAGTGTATGTAACTATAATCTTTCTTTGCAATATATACTAATGAATAAGCACTATGTTTGCCATGCACCTGGTGTGATGAGAGTGAAATTGACATGCTTAATGGCTATCAAGTGTAAAGTTGAAATGATTTTCCTGGAAAGGACATATATCTTATTAGTCGATTAAGATGCTTTCCTGGAGTTTCAATTGTATAAGTTTGAGCTCTAGGACCAATTCTTGAGTTTCCCTCGTAAAAGTTGAAAAACTTTTATATACTTATACTATTATTTTAGATTAGTATTAGTTAGATCCAAACTTAGTGATGAACTGTTGACACTAGTCCTACATTTTTTCAACTATACAACATGAAATCTAGCAATGTAGTTGGACTCTAATGTCGATGCGAATGAATCATTTCCTGTAGAATATTTTCAATCCAAGTTGAAATAGGAAAAGTCACAAGCACCACTAGACTCGATCACCGGTTGAACGTCAGTAGGATCCGATATTCATTACTTACTCAGATAGGAAGTTGACAGTCTCAATCTAGTGGTGTGGTCCACAACGACTTTGTTGATCCAAGGGGTTTTTTGTTTTTATTGCAATAAGTGTTCCTTTTTTTCTTTTAACTTGCAACACTTGCTACTTTGAAGTTGAAAACTAGATTTTATGCAGATTGCACGCTAAGTCTTTGGTATAGGTGTCCCGGGCTAATAATCTACAAAGAAAGGAAAGGGAATGACATATCAATCCAAGATCCTTCTCCCCTTAGAAAGAGGAGAAAATATCCAAAATTGTCCTTGTGGTTTGCAAAAAAGGTCTGATTTTGTCCTCTGTTAAAGCTTAGGTCCCATCGTGCCCCCGCTGTTATCACACGGGCACACATTTGCCCTTATTATCCAACTTAGCTAACAAAATTATTAAAATGGATTTCAAAACTTTTAAAATGATAAAAAAAAGGTTCTAAAATTCTCCGGGTGATTGTGGCTTTTGAGTGGAAGTGGAAGACATTGAAGATTTAGGAATGTTTGGGTGGCCATTTCTGATAGAAGTTTTTTTCTAGAGATCAGTGGTTTCAGGTTTCGCAATGCTTGTAGATGACACCGTGCCTTACAATGAGATGATATATAACTAAAAGGTAAAAATGCTAAGATAGTGCCGAGTATTGAACTTTGACCCTCCAACTTTGGGTGTGCACAAGTAAACACTTAAATTTGTATAAAATTGAACAATTAAACACATGCGTATACATGACATCCTATATGACAATTCACATCCTACATAGCGTCCTATGTGTTGACATCCAATTTTGGACCTCCACAATATAAATTAATCATCGAGCTTCCTAAAATCTAAATGATTTAATATAATTGGCTTTATAAAAATAATTTTCAAGACATTTTAAGTAGTTTTGTCATTTTTATAAATTTTAAAATAATAAATATGATATTTTATATAATTATGTGTCTAATTAGTATATTTTATGAATGTTCGAAAATTGTCTCAAAAGGATTTTAGTTTTATTTAAATATTTGGTTATTTAGTTTAAATTAATTAATAGCTTATATTTTAAGTTAATTAGTTTGTAATTAAGTTAATTATTGTATAATTATGTGTCTAATTAGTATATTTTACGAATGTTCGAAAATTGTCTCAAGAAGATTTTAGCTTTATTTAAATATTTGGTTATTTAGTCGTTTATATTGTTAAATTAATTAGTTTATAATTAAGTTAATTATTGTTATTACTAGCCGAATCTATCTTAACTAAATTGAATTGGTTAAGTTTTTCTAATTCCCTTTCAACCGACCCCACCCCTATTTTTTTTTTACAATTAATACCATACCCATACAATTACAATACATGCTCTACTCCACCGAAAATTTTCGTCCCTTTTTCCATTTATTCCGAACCCTAGTTTCTTCTATATATTCTGGGATTACTCATTTGTAAAAAAAAAGAAAAATTTTACTTAAGGCAGCGAAATTATCTAAAACACCATACTAAATATACTTCAAGGAAAAACAGAGGAGATACTCTTGTTTTAGTGCTTGGGTTTGATATTCTTGCCCGGACTTCTCGGCTACTGTTCGTGCTCAAGTTTCCGTGGTGAAGGTTGTCATTTCGCTCTTTTGTTCTCTGTTTCGCTGCCCCGAGAAAGGTGAGAATATCGCCTTTATTTCTCTTGTAGCCTTTTCTCTTCTCAACCTTTGTGTATCTACTTCGGTCTCTCAAGTAGTTGTTTTCATTAAGATGTCTTTGTGTCATTTTCAAAGTGATCTAGTGCTTACTTGAATATGCTTTCTCTGTTTGTAGTCTGCTTAAGTCCTTGGTTGTTGTTCTCGTTTTAAGCTCGGCCTATTTATTCTTTGATCACTCCGACTTTGTTTTGTCTCCAGCGGTTTTGGATAAATTTTTTTGCCTTGTTTATATGCGCTGAAAATGTCCATGAAACTATTCTGTCACTCCTTTGTATATTCTCAGGCCTAGATTCGAAATTCATGCTAATGTAAATAGGCGTATATTTATTTTGCTTTTTACGATCGTTTTATGTTTTAGATGATTTCGCTATGAGGCCTATTTATTGTTTCTTCTATAGTTCTTGTTCTATCAATGTTATTATGTTTTGCTTGCTGGAATGATATCTGAAAAGAATGCTAAAATGTGTTCCCCTTCTCTTCCCCGTCTTAATGAAGTCGTAAAGATGTTGAAGCTCCTTTCCCGTTCGTATTTGTGGGTTCTTTTCTTACTCTATTAATACTGTCTTTGGTGCATGTGAAGCTTGTAATTTAATTTTAGTACCATACGAGTCGTTTGCCATTTTGGTTAATCTTATGAGAGCATAAGGTGTTTATCTTCATTTAATTATTAGGAGTTCACTGATTACTAAGGATGAGAAGATTTTTTATGTGCATTTATGCTGTAATAAAGAGCTAAATATTTGTTTACTGTGGGCTGTTCTAGCATTTTAGTATTCCCTTAACTTCACATGTTTCATTTTGGAGTTTAGTCATATTGATTTATGTAATAAGAAGCATGCTTTGACCCTTTTATTTTCCGCTGCTTGTTGTCACTAGTATGTATTTTCTCCTTTAAATATTTTGCTATGGAATTATTATTGGGGTATAGGTTTATGAAAGTCATGTGATCACAAGTTGACCATGGCTTGACTATCTCAAATTATAAATAAAAAAATAGTGTCCTTGCATTATAATTTGTTTGTGCTAGTTGAATGGATTATTTTTAATGCTATGTTTGTTGGCTGCCTTAGTTCTAGACTAGTATTTAATCTACTTTTTCAAGAGTTATAAGTATGTGCTTAGTCGCCTCTTTTTAGTTAATTAAAGGAGTATTTATCTAAGTTGGGCTACTTTTTCCTCAAAATTTATTATGTAGTAATAGATCATGTGCTCATTTATGATAATATGACATATTGATTAGTTTATGTTATGATTGAATATGTAATCTATGTCAGTTGATGTAACTCGGCATGTGACTTTGATAT